TAGATATACTCACTGAAGTATATCAAGATATATCCACACACAAGATTTCACAGCAATATTGTTTATAAAAGAAAAAAAAAATTAGGAAGTTTAAATTATAGCACGCCCATCCTATGGAACATCTTGATGTACTGATATGGAAAAACCTCTAATATATTCTAAAGTAAAAAAAGAAATTCACAAACTTCAGAAGACCATGCAGATAGCAGTAACGGAGGCGTTAGGCATGTGTAAAAAAAAAACTTGGTCAGGGACGCCTGGGTGGCTCAGTTGGTTAAGCAGCTGCCTTCAGCTCAGGTCATGATCCCAGCGTCCTGGGATCGAGTCCCACATCGGGCTCCTTGCTCGTCAGGGAGCCTGCTTCTCCCTCTGCCTCTGCCTGCCATTCTGTCTGCCTGTGCTCGCTCTCTCTCCCTCTCTCTCTCTGACAAATAAATAAATAAAATCTTTAAAAAAAAAAAAAAAAAAAAAAAAAAATTGGTCAAAAAAAAAAAAAAACAAAACTTAGTCAAAATAACCCTTGAAAATTCCTTAAATAGCCCATAAATAGACCCTCAACTCTATGTTCAACTAATCTTCAACAAAGCAGGAAAGAATGTCCAATGGAAAAAAAGTCTCTTCAACAAATCGTGTGGGGAAAATGAAATCGGACCTTCACCTTCCACCACACACAAAAATAGACTCAAAATGGATGAAAGACCTAAATGTGAAACAGGAATCCCTCAAAATCCTTGAGGAGAACACAGGCAGCAAGCTCTTCAACCTCAGCCACAGCAACTCTTTCCTAGACATATTGCCAAAGGCAAGGGAAGCAAGGGCAAAAATGAACTACCGGGTCTTCATCAAGATAAAAAAGCTTTTAGGGGCACCTGTATGGCTCAGTGGTTAAATCCTCTGCCTTCGGCTCAGGTCATGATCTCAGGGTCCTGGGATCGAGTCCCAAATCGGGCTCTCTGCTCATAGGGGAGCCTGCCTCCTCCTCCTCTCTCTCTCTGCCTGCCTCTCTGCCTACTTGTGATCTGTCAAATAAATTTAAAAAAAAAATCTTAAAAAAAAAAAAGATAAAAAGCTTTTACAAACAGCAAAGAAAAAAAATAGTCAACAAAACCGAAAGATAACCAACAGAATGGGAGAAAATATCTGCAAATGACATAACAGATAATGGGCTAGTATCCAAAATCTATAAAGAACTTATCAAACTCAACACCCAAAGAACAAAGAATCCAATCAAGAAATGGTCAGAGGACATGAACAGACATTTCTGCAAAGAAGACATCCAGATGGCCAACAGACCCATGAAAAAGTGCTCCACATCACTTGGCATCAGGGAAATACAAATCAAAACCACAGTAAGATACCACCTTTCCCGGTCAGAATGGCTAAAACTAACAAGTCAGGAAACTAGAGATGTTGGCAAGGATGCAGAGAAAGGGGAACCCTCCTACACTGTTGGTGGGAATGCAGGCTGGTGCAACCACTCTGGAAAACAGCATGGAGGTTCCTCAAAAAGTTGAAAATAGAGCTACCCAGCATATTGCACTATTGGGTATTTTACCCCAAAGATACAAATATAGTGACCCAAAGGGGCACATGCACCCGAATGTTTATAGCAGCAATGTCCACAATAGCCAAACTATGGAAAGAACCTAAATGTCCATCAACAGATGAATGGGTAAAGAAGAGGTGAGATACATACACACACACACACACACACACACACACACACACACACACACACACACACACAGGAATACTATGCAGTCTTCAAAAAAATGGAAATCTTGCCATTTGCAACGACATGGATGGAATTAGAGAGTATTATCCTAAGCGAAATAAGTCAGTCAGAGAAAGATAATTATCTTAGGATCTCACTGATATGAGGACTTTGAGAAACAAGACCAAGGATCATAGAGGAAGGGAGGAGAAAAAAATGAAACAAGATGAAACTAGAGAGGGAGACAAACCGTAAGAGACTCTTAATCTCAGGAAACAAACTGAGGGCTGCTAGAGTGGAGGGAGGTGGGGGTGATGGGGTGGCTGGATGATAGACACTGGGGAGGGTATGTGCTATGGTGAGCACTGTGAATTGTCTAAGACTGATGATTCACAGACCTGTATCCCTGAAATAAGTAATACATTATATGTTAATAAAAAAAATAGCCCATAAAGTTCAGTATAGATTTTGAATATATCCAACCTTAAGCAGTAATTTTCATGCAAACCAAAATTTGATAAACAATGAACTAGACTAAAGGATAAAGGGGGAAAAAAGTGAATTCAGAGGTGCCCAGTTGGCTCAGTTGGTAGAGCATGTGGTTCTTTTTTAAGTAGGCTCCATGCGGGCCTACTCAGTGCAGGACTTGAACTCACAATTCTGAGATCAAAACCTGAGCCAGGATCAAGAGTTGGACACTCAACTGACCAAGCCACCCAGGCCCCAGAGCATGCAACTCTTGATCTCAGGGTTATAGGTTCAGTACATTGGGTATAGAGATTACTTAAAATCTTAAAAAAAAAATGAGGAACTAGAGTGTATCATGCTAATTGAAGTCACTCAGTCAGAGAAAGACAAATACCATATGATTCACTCATATGTGGAATTTAAGAAACAAAACAGATGTGCAAAGGGGAAGGGGAGGAAAAAATAAGAACAGAGAGGGAGGCAAACCATAAAAGACTTTCTAGTTAAGAGAGCAAACCGAGGGTTGCTGGAGGGGAGGTGGGTGGAGGATGGACTAAATGGGTGATGGGTAGTAAGGAGGGCACTTACTTGAATGAGCACTGGGGGTTATATGTTAAGTGATGAATCACTAAGTTCAACTCCTGAAACCAATACTACATTATATGTTAACTTGAACTTAAATAAAATTTAAAAGTGAATTTAGCTATCTGAACAATAAAATGATCATGCCTTAAAAAATAAATTAATAAAAAATGATCATGCCTTTAATAAACCATACAGTTGGGGCGCCTGGGTGGCTCAGTGGGTTAAAGCCTCTGCCTTCCGCTCAGGTCATGATCCCAGGGTCCTGGGATCGAGCCCCGCATCAGGCTCTCTGCTCAGCAGGGAGCCTGTTTCCCCCTCTCTCTCTGCCTGCCTCTCTGCCTACTTATGATCTCTGTCTGTCAAATAAATAAATAAAATCTTTAAAAAAAAAAAACCATACAGTCTTTAGCATCACATGGGAGATGGGCGGAAAATAATACACATTCCCCTTTTACTCTAATCTGTTTTAATATTTACCCTTTATGATCTTAAATGTAAGTATTATTTTTATTGTGCAATTGTACATTGCTGAGTCCTTGGCGCTTGGAATAGTATCCGAAACATAATACAACCTTAGAATTTGTCAAATGAATAAATGAGAAAGTAATAAGCGCTTAGCATAAGGTCTAGGTCAAAGTGCTCACTAGGTGAATGCCACATTAGAATTGAAATCTTGCTTATTAGACTCATAATATAAATTGTTCTTTGAATTTATAGAAACAAAAATAGCTTTATCTTTTCTTTTTTAAAGCCAATTCTATCCCCAATGTGAAATTCAAACTCACAACGCGACCCTGAGATCAAGAGTCACATGTTCTACTGACTGGGCCAGCCTGGCACCCCAGTAGCTTTATCTTTTTGAGAACCTGTATTTCCTTTTGTGGTTTTAGTGAACTACTCTTTTCCATGGCCTTGGAAATTGCTATCGAGAATTTTTTTTTAAGATTTTATTTATGTATTTGACAGAGAGAGAGACCACAAGTAGGCAGAGAGGCAGCAGAGGGGTAGGGGGAAGCAGGCTCCCTGCTGAGCAGAAAGCCTGACGCAGGGCTTGATCCCAGGACCCTGAGATCATGACCTGAGCTGAAGGCAGAAGCTTAACCCACTCAGCCACGGAGGGGCCCCGGTCTCGAGATTTCTTAATCTCATCTTTAGCAGTGAAGTCTCCATTCCAGTTAGGATTTCTATTGAGTTTGTTACAAATGATATATACGTACATATATATGACTAATATATATGATGAGATGTTCACATATGAATTTGCTATGAGGTTCACTAAGGTTTACTAACTCTGAGGACTGATAGTTGGGAGAGGGAGGAAACTGCGCTATTTGAATTTTTAATCACATAAAACATCAAAGGGGGTTATACAGGTGTTAAGATTATGGGCACTACAGCTTTCTTTTGCTTTTCTGTAGTGTGTTTTTGTTTTTTAACATGTCAGTGATACTTTCAATCTAAACTAAACCTTCTGGGGCTCATCCCAGATACTTGGGAATATGTTCAATCAGGGCACAAGGACGGAGCTCCTAACCCCAAGCACAGACCACGTGGAACAAGGAGGAAGGTGAGAAAGACAGAACACTGTTGCTCCTTCCTGTCTTTCTAGCAACACGGTAACACCTGAATGCAGCAGAACCAACCACATTGCATGAAGTTAAGCCCCGACTCTAGCATAAAACTCTCCACTTCTCACAATGTTAGCTCCTTCTCAAAACAGTCTGAAAATGATCTCTCCAGATATTTTGGAAATTTGATTTCTCTTGTTCTGGGGAAAATATACTAAATGAACTTTTGAATTATCTAATTTGAATAAATTAAATAAGAGTCTTAAGCGTTTAAAGCTACAATGTATTAAACTGAACCTAACTTTCGTTTATCTTTAAGGTTTTTTTATTTTTTATTTTATTTTTTTTAAAGATTTTATTTATTTATTTGACAGAGAGAGAGAGATCACAAGTAGGCAGAGAGGCAGGCAGAGAGAGAGAAGGAAGCAGACTCCCTGCTGAGCAGAGAGCCCGATGTGGGGCTCAATCCCAGGACCCTGAGATCAGAACCTGAGCCAAAGGCAGAGGCTTAACCCACTGAGCCACCCAGGTACCCCAAGGTTTTTTATTTTAATAGTTCATATCTTTCTTTCTATATTTAAGCTCTTCTGCCTACTTGGTTTGGCATACTCCTACCTTTAAAAAAGTCAATGACTACATAGATGAAGGAAAAAAAGAGAAATTACTCGCTAAGTTTGTTGCCAAGTTCTTGAAGAGCTTGCTCCTGTTCATGATATATTTTTTTCAACTGCTGATTTTCATCCTGGATGTTAAGGAACTCCTTCAAAACAATAAAAGACAGAAAATGCAATTTAAAAGAAATAAACAAGAAACTCCCCACCGTATACATACTAATAATTAGGAACATATATCCTTTAGCTTTTTATAAAAAACAGAACTCTATGTCCAAGCTCTCTCATAGCTATGCCATCAACTATCACCTATTTTCCATTCATTTAAACTCTACTAGTTTTCTTTTTTTTAAGACTTATTTTGGAGGGAGGGAAGGACAGAAGGAATCTTAAGCCGGAGCCTAGTAGAGGGCTTAGGGCTCAATTCCATGACCCTGAGATCATAACTTGAGCTGAAACCAAAAGTCAGATGCTCAGCTGACTGAGCCACCCAGGTGTCCCACGATTTTTTTTTTTTTTTTTTTTTTAAAGTAAACTCTCTACCCAACATGGGGCTTGAACTCATGAATCCAGCCAGGCACCCCTTCTTATTGGTATTTTTAAATACAACCAGTATATTCTGCCTCTTTAGTATAAATATAAATTATGATTTCTTTTTTTATTAAAGATTTTATTTATTTATTTGACACATAGGTGGAGATCACAAATAGGTGGAGAGGCAGGCAGAGAGAGAAGGGGAAGCAGGCTGCTGAGCAGAGAGCCTGATGTGGAGGCTCAATCCCAGGACCCTGAGATCATGACCTGAGCCAAAGGCAGAGGCTTTAACCCACTGAGCCACCCAGGTGCCCCTCTCTTTTTGAGTAACTTAGTTTTCAGAGATACAATTTTTAAAGTTTTACCACCATTTACTTTTTTAAGATCAATGATTTGTTGGGTCTCATTTCGAAGATGAGATAAGGCATCTTTCTCCTTTTGAAGATCTTCCTGCAAAGTCTGCCTCCATTCCTTCTCAATCTTCAAATCAGTTTCCAGCTGCACCCTTAAAGGACAAACACACAGAAATTTAGTGCTATTTCTCACAGAACAGCTGTCTGCTTTCTTTAATAACACCATCTTTTTTATTATTTTCACTTTTGTACATTTCTTCAAGTATTTTCTTTCAAAAATATTTTTTTGTAAACAAGTTCAGCAGCACAGGGTTTTCTGATCCCAACTTATCAATATATTTGCCAACCACAAAAATTCCTGGCTAAACAATAATTTGTCACTTTTTATTTCTGTGTACATAAATGCTATATGAGCAGAGAAAATGCCTGGAAGTATATACCACACTATTAACACTGGTTGTATCTTGGGGGAATGAAACAAAGGAGAAAAATCTGAAGTTTTAATTATTTACATTTCTGTACCATGTGCAAAATTTTACAACGAACTATTGTTCTAAGAATTACAGCAATCACTAAACCAGTTAAACATTAGTCACAGAAAAATCAAACCTGGTACAGAGTGCTACTTTACAGATTGCTTACAGGACAGAGCTAAGCCCAAAGAGACACCTGAGGAAAACCCATACTGCTCAGAAATGCCAATTCACATTTCAAAGTGCTACCTCATCATTCTAACAGGTGCTATCTGGCAAAACAAAAGTAGTCAAATTCCTATACTTTAAGATACCAAGAAGAAATCATTTTGAAAATTATTGCTCACAGGTAGGTATAACAGATGAGGCATAAACAATGCTACAATTTCTAATACATTAAATTTCATTTATTTTTTAAGATTTTATTTATTTATATGACACACAGACAGAGCCAAAAGCAGGGGAAGCAGCAGGCAGAGGCAGAGGGAGAAGCAGGCTCTCTGCCATGCAGGGCTGGATCCCAAGACCCCAGGATCATGACCCAAGCTAAAGGCAGATGCTCAACCGACTGAGACACCCAGGCACCCTCTAACAAATTTTAATAGCAATATGTAATATTGAGACTATCACAATACAACATTTTAATACTCTTCTGTTAATATCCTAATTACTTTTTTTCCTCATAAAGTTAGCATTTCCATCTATAGCCACATTATTTCTCTGTGAAGTGAATTTCAGACTTTATAATTCAGGTTGCAGAGAAAAGATACCCCTAAATGGAATTTACAGATTGTTGATTAATACTATTTCACTACAAATTCAAAAGGAATACAGAGACAGGTACATGTTACTAACACTGAAGGAACGAAAGTATGGAGTGCCTTGAGTGGCCTTATCATCCAGAATCAGAAAAAAACTGAGTGAAAAAGCAAAGGAAAAGTATTTTTAAGTTATTATAAATATATTGTCAAAATACACATTGACCACCAAAGGCAGAAACCAAAAAGAGAAAAAGGAAAAATGTAACTACTGAAAATTTAAAATGTCTAAATGAACAAAGTTTAAAAACAGTAAATTTTGGGTGTACCTGGCTCAGTGGGTTAAAGCTTCTGCCTTCAGCTCAGGTCATGATCCCAGGGTCCTGGGATTGAGCCCCGCATCAGGCTCTCTGCTCAGCGGGGAGCCTGTTTCCCTTCCTCTCTCTCTCTGCCTGCCTCTCTGCCTACTTGTGATCTCTGTCTGTCAAATAAATAAATAAAAATCTTTATAGAAAAAAATAAAAACAGTAAATTTAGAAAATATTTCACTGTATGTGAAATGCCCAGAGTAAAGAACTCTTATAAATAAATATTAATAAGCTAAACACTACAAGGAAAAAAGTAAATGATATGAACTGGCAATTCACAAAATAAATACAAATGGATCTCACCAATAATCAAAGATATGCAAACTCCAATAACAAAGCACAATTTTTCAGTCTAAAGGATTCCTCTAGGTTAACTGATACGATGGTACAGACCTATACTAATTGATACGACACACTGCCCATGACACAGCACATGCAATAAAGATGGTACTAAAGAGCATGTTGTGTGACCCTCTTTCTAAAATACATAAAAGCATCTCTGCATGGCAAAAAAAGGGTATTCATCAAAATGTTAAAAAAAAAAACTGTCTCTAATTTTTATTTTCTTCACATTTTCCTACACTTTCCAACAACATGTAATACTTTTGTAGTCAGAAATCATTTATTTCCATTTTAGGGGGAAAAAAATGGAATTCATTCAGCTGCCCCCTTCTACAGAAACAGTTCCAGTTTTTCTGAACCATCAGGGATTCCCCTGATCTCCAAATTGTTCACATGGTCATGCTCTACCAACAGGGCACCAACTGACAGACAAAATTACTTGGTATATTACACGGTTTTAGCAGAAAGAAACCTCTTCTCTCTATAGTAGTATCCAAGACTTAGTGACCAGGTTAGCCCCATAGCAGTAGGAACCCCCAGAAGGCACAGAATAACATGGTGATGAGTTCCCTGAGGCTTCTTTTTGCCTCCTATATAGCTCAGAGTGGGTGTTGAAGAAGCCACTACCTGTAATGGATATAGACAAAAAAAAGAGAGAGAGAGAAAGAGAGAGAGAAAAGAAAAGAAAAAAGTCCCAAGAAAAGTCTGCTCTCTCTTGCTAAATAACTGAGAAAAGGTAGCCTAGCATTGATAGAAACAAGATGGGACTGGGGAGGGAGACACAAACTATAAGAGACTCTTAATCTCAGGAAACAAACTGAGGGTTGCTGGGGGGTGGGGGAGGAGGGATGGGGTGGCTGGGTTATGGACACTGGGGAGGGTATGTGCTATGGTGATTGCTGTGAATTATGTAAGACTGATGATTCACAGACCTGTACCCCTGAAGCAAATAATACATTATATGTTAATTGAAAAAAAAAACCACAAAACATTTTGACAATAAAGGCCCTATTGTAGCAAAACAAAAAACAAAAAAACCCAGAGGAAAAAACCATAGGGCCCCAACCACTGTCAGCAAAGGCCAAGTGGGGAATTTAGATTTCCATCCTCACCTGGCAATAATAAAGTATCTCTCCCACCCCCCAACATGGTAATATCAGAAAAGGTCAAGGGGCAAGCCGGGATTTTGAATACTGCCCAGCACCCTCTCTTATGGAGACCACATTGGGAACCCGGACTTTTAACCCACATCAATAACAAGGTATTTCTCACCCTCCCCAGGTCAGTGAAAGCCAAGTGAGAAGCCTAGATTTCTATTCCTGCCCAGTGAAATGAGGCACCTCTACCTCTCTCCTCCAGAACGGTGCACAGACAGAAGCCTAGACTTCCACTCCTACTTGAGAGAAACAAGGCACCACTCTTCTTTTCCACAATGTCAGTAGAGACTGAGTGGAAAGCACAGATTTCAATCCCTGCCCAGTAGTTAGGCACCCTTCTCCATTCCATCCAGAATGGTTCTAGGATTCTACTATCCCTACTTGTTATAAAGAGTGAGTTTCAGGGCACCTTGGTGCCTCGGTCAGACGCCGTAAGTGTCTGACTCTTGGTTTGGCTCAGGTCACGATCTTAGGGGTCATGCAATTGAGCCCTAATTCAGGCTCCACGCTCAGTGTAGTGTCTGTTTGAGATCCTCTCTCCCCCTCCCTCTGCCCTTGCACCTCCTGCTTGCACTCTAAAATAAATAAATACATCTTAAAGAGAGAGAGAAAGAGGGAGAGAGAGTCAGCATCTGTATTCCCCTGCTCATGTGGCTTCAGTGGAGAGCTGCTAAAATTTAAATAAGGTGTAGTCTCGTAACATAATTCTCAGTATGTCCAGAATGCACTGAAAAACACTTGTTATATCAAGACCCAAGAAATATCTTAACGTGGATGAGGAAAAAAAAGATGCCAACATGTCAGATAATTCTGAAGATAAGAATTTTAAAGCAGTCATCATGAAAATGCTCCTATGACCAATTAAGAACACACCTGAAACAAAATAGTAAGTTTAAGCATAAAAGATCAGATGAAATTGGGCACATTCAGGATGGAATGGCTGTAGACTAGTAAAAAAGAGAGAGAGGAAGGAAACATAGTCAAATGGATATATACAATAACCTCACTAAATGGGCTCAGTAGGAGAATGATGATGAGGAGGAAAGAATGGATTTCAAAACACTACACCGCAAGGGCACCTGGCTGGCTCAGTCAGTAGAGCACGCAACTCTTGATCTCAGAATTGTGAGTTTAAGCCTCACATTGGGCACAGAATCTACTTAAAAAACAACAACAACAACAACACTACAATAGAAATCACCCAATCTGAACGAGAGGAGAAAATAAACTGGGGGAAAAAAGTGTCTGAGACCTATAGGATTATTTAAAACAAAAAATCTAATATTCAAGGTCATCAGAATTCCAGAGAAGAGAGGGGAGGCTGAGTCTGGGTGGCTCAGTTGGTTAAGCATCCGACTCTTGATTTTGGCTCCAGTTATGATTTCAGGGTCGTGAGATCAAGCACTGTGTCAGATTCCACGCTCAGCAAGAAGTCTGCTTAGAATTCTCCCTCTCCCTCTGTCTCTGGCCCTCCCCACTCCCTTTCTCCCTGTCTAAATAAACCTTTTTTTTTTAAAGATTTTAATTTATTTATTTGAGAGAGAGAGAACATGAGTGGGGAGGAGGGGCAGAGGGAGAGGAAGAAGCAGGCTCTCCACCGAGAAGGAAGCCTCATGTAGGTCTCAACCCAAGGAACCCTGGGATCATAACCCAAGTCAAAAGCAAATGCTTCACCGACTGAGCGCTAAAGTGAGTAAATCAAACAAACAAATGAAAGAACTCCAGTATAAAGGAAGCAATTGGACTGGAAAAATATCTAGGAAAAAGATAGCTGAAAAATATCCAAATTTGGTAAAGATAAACAGAAAGATTGAAGAAGCCGACCAAAGCTTAAAAAGGATAAATCCAAAGAAATAATCTTGGATAGAGTAACAGTCATTCAAATGACAGTATTTTTCATCAGAAACTACGAAAACCAAAAGAAAATGGTACCACAGTTTTCAAGTGCTGAAAGAAAGGAACTGTCAATTCAGAATTCTAAGGAAAGTCTTCAGAAATGAAGATGAAATCAAGATCTCATATGAAAAAAAATAAGAGAATTTGTTGCCAAGAGACCCACCCTAAAAGAAACACAAAAGAAGTTCTTCAGATACAGAAGAAAACTTATATCAGGAATGAAGAAAGAACAATAAACAAAGTTTCCTGAATTATATATAATGTTTGAAGCACAAACTATAAAATTGTCTGATGGGGAGCACATAGCTAGCTCAGCCATAAAGCATAAGACTCTTGATCTCAGTCATGAGTTCAAACCCAACACTGGGCTTAGAGTTTACATCTTAAAAAAAAAAAAAAAAAACAAAAAAAAACTTTCTAATATTGTCTGATGTGGTTCTCAATATTATGCAGAGAAAATATTTAAGTCAATTATGTTATAAAAGAAAAAGAGTAAAAAGATCTAAGTGGAAGTAAGACCTCCACACTTCATTCAAAGTAGTAAAATACTGGTACCAGTAGACTGAAAATCTGCAAATATATAAGACAGTATCTACAGCAATCATGAGAAAATCTATATGAAGAGATACACTCAAAAACACTATAAATAAATCAAAAAGGAATTCTAAATAATATTCAAGTAATCCCTGGGGGGGGGCAGGAAAAAAGAAATAAAGGAATGAAAAACAAAACAACAAAAAAAACAATAAAAGAGCAGACTTATGCTCTCATACCAACAATCACACTAAATGTAAATGAACTAAATATATCATTAAGAGATTGTCAGAACAGATAAAAAAACATGAACTATAAGAAACTTACTTCAAATATACTGATGATAATAATAAAGATTAGGCTGATAGTTTAAATACTGAAAAATGCAAGCAGTCATGTTTTATTATATGACAATACTAATCAAAAGAAAGCAGAAGCAGCTCTATTAACATCTGATAAAGAAAATTACCAGAGATAAACATATCATATCATGGCTCATAAAAGGCTCATAAAAGGCATATTGTTTTGATAAAAAGGTCAATTCGCCAAAAAGACATAGCAATCCTAAATGTGTCGGCACCAAACAACAGAATACAAGAAGCTTCAGAATACAAGAAGCAAAAACCGTTAGAACTGAAAGTAAAAATACACAAATCCACAGTTGCAGCTGGGATATTCAACAAATCCCCTCTCAATAACTGACAGAACTATTAGAAAATTTGCACGAACTGAGAGGAGTTTAATGCCACCTCAACCGATGGGTCTCAAGACAGCTTAACAAGTTATATATCATAAATGGCATGTAGTCTTGTTTATGATCTGTTAAACATAATACATAACTATTTGCTATTGTTGCTTTAATAACAAAAGAAGTAACATGTTTACTAGGAGAAAATACTGATGTTCATAAAGTAAAAACTAAAATACCCCTGTCAATCTGCCATCACTCCCCTGAGATAATCATTCCCCAGAATCTATATTCTTTAAGCACGTGCACACACACACACACACACACACACACACACATGCATATGTGCTTATTTAAATATATATGCATATGTGCATAGTTATTATACACATAACTATGCATATATGCACAGTTTTAATTTTATAAAAATTGGGATACCTCACATACTGTCTGCAACTTGCTTTTTTCAGTCCAGTGACATATATGGACATCATTCTTAGCTTGTAAGAAATATCTAAAATATTAATAAAAACGTTCTCAGAAAATCTCGTTTTTTGATAATACAAGTTCCTTTGAGTTACAAAGGTCTATTACACTCAATATCTAGAAATATAATGGCCATCTGCTGTTATGCACCAGCAGAAAGAATAAAATTCTCCTTGAGCAAGGTAACAAGAGAGTTGAAAAGCTCTGAAAACAATAAAGGGACAAAAAACTCAAGTTTATCAATTATGTTTTCTAATTTTTTTTTAATTTCTCAAGGAGAACTCCATAATCTACCTGGCATCATTAACTAAAGGAAAATATAGGTATCCTACCATTATGGGCTAAAAAGAAGGGGTGGGGTCGCCTGGGTGGCTCAGTGGGTTAAGCCTCTGCCTTCGGTTCAGGTCATGATCTCAGGGTCCTGGGATCGAGACCCACATCACATCACACTCTTTGCTCAGCGGGGAGCCTACTTTCCCCCCTCTCTCTCTGCCTCTCTGCCTACTTGTGATCTGTCAAATAAATAAATAAAATCTAAAAAAGGGGGAGGGGCTGAGGAGGGGATTATGTTAATACAAGTATTTGTTTCCAAGAGTGAAATACTCACAGCTGTTTCTCCTTTTGGGAGACTTGTTTCTGCAGATTGTCGGATTTACTCTGACACTCTTGTAGATATTTCTTGTCTTCATCTTCAGCTTCCATTTGCGCCTTCTCTGCTTGCTGCAATCTGGTGTAATTCAAATCAACTTTGGGTAAAACTGAGGCTAGAACTAGGGTGTAAAAGGGTGAAGAAGACAAATAAAAGAAAAATGGGGAAATAGAAACATTTCTAAATGAAAACAAAGTTTGGGGGGAAACTCACAAACTCAAACGTGAAAGAGCCACACAATGTCTAGAAATTGTTTTGTGATTTTTTTTTCAATATAACATATAATATGCCCAGAATACTATCTTCAAATTTGTTTTATTTCTTGTTCATAATTAACAATGCAAAGCAATACAGTCTTTACCACTTACGTAGAGCAGAATGGATTAACTTTGAAAGTATAATGGGTGCATTACTGCCTTTTTTACAAAACCATGTAAAGCACAGTATTTATGACTACACTAGGTGAAGAAGCCACATTGTTATTTATTATGTTAGGATGTGTATGCCAGGAATCAAGTGTGCTACAAGGCCAAGAGCAAAGACCTGCAATTATTTTGAACAGCGAAGTCCTCCCTATAGGATCTTTATGCATTTACTAAATTATGCCAAAAGCTGTGTGTGTGTGTGTGTGTGTGTGTGTGTGTATGTAAGATTCAAAAGAATATAGTACTAGTTGGCAACATTCTCTAGAGATCATTTTTGTTCATCGCTGATGTTTAAATATTACCTAAAAATGTGATTTTCATTTGTTCTGTTTTTGTTTGTAAGTCATTGATTCTCCCTCTGCTTAGCTCCATTCCCTGCCTCCCATCTAGGATTCCTTAGATTTAACTTCAATATTTTTATAAGAAAACATTTCCCACTTATTAAAAAGACATTAACTCCTTGTAGGGAATCTCAGGCAAAATCATCTATTCAACTAGCTGAAAACACGGCCTCTTCTTTTCTTCCTAAAAACATGCCAGTGGGGCAACCTGACACTTTTCAGAAGTATAAATGCCACTTCTGAACAAAAGAGAGTAACATTCAAGTTATCTCTAAATCAAAATTTAATTTTAAAATATTAACGTGGAGGGACAGGGGACCCAAGCATTTCTCTAAGATTACAGAAACTAAAATAAAACTCAGAGTGAGGTAGGGCTTGAAATTGTGCTATCATAGAAGAGGGCTAAGGGAACTGGAAAACTGAGGTGCTAGAGCACAAGAGAATGGCCAATCTGCATTATAAACTATTTTAAGACATCAGTAAAAAATCAGTAAAGAAGCCATTAGGCAAGGAGTGGGCCAATGGGGAAAAAATTTGTGCCAACACACTGTGAAATCAAAGGGTCAACTTATTTTTAAACAATGTTTATATTTTCCATCAAAAAGTAGCTAAAAAGATAAAACTGCACTTGAAAATTCTGACCTCCAAAAGGCCAATACTCAAATCAGCCTTTGTGCACAAGGTTTGAGGAGCATGTTTTTGGAAATCCAAGTGCACCCACTCTGCTCTATGGCAGTGCATTACCACAGCAGCAGATCAAGAAGTGGAGAGGGTTCCTAATACCCTTTTCAAATACTTAATAGCATAAATTATTTTCTATTTAATATATTATAAAATTGTTGAGTCTCTTTTAGTCTGTTGAAGTACAAGCGGTTTTCAGAAAGATATATCTTTGACCAGCTTGTACTGGTCCTGAGTGTCACTGCCGGCGTATTTCACCAATGACATTGCAATTGTCCTAGTTTGAGTTAACAAATCATTGTCACTTCATAATGGAATGGACAGAAATCAAAGACAGAAGAAGGTAATAAAGATGTCCAAAATGTAAAAATGGGGATAAAGAAAACAAAAAAGAAGAAAGAAGAAAGAGGATGTCAATAAAAGAATATTCATGTCAATAAAGCATTAATAGTTATGTTTTTCATAAGTAGATTCAAAGAAAGCAATGATAAGACATATGTTGACACCAACATGACAGGTCAATGGAAATACATTACATTTTCCAACAATAAAAGTGAAAAATGCCAATATAAAACAATTCAATTTAAATAAAATTACTTCTTGGTTTGGGTTGAAGTCCTAGCTCAAAGAAACACAACTAAACTGCCAACTCAAAGCCTGATTTCAGATAAAGAGATGGTGAATGACAAAGAATATGACAATCAATATGCATGGAAATCAATCAGGGATAATTCCACCATAGATTCTGTTCGTTTTTCACTTTTTTAAAGTATTTGTTTGTGTATTTGTTTTATGTAATAGATTGAACCACATGAAATTGCCAATATTAAATCTTTTTTAAAAATCCACAAAATGGCAAATTCAAATGAAATCAGCCTAATATAAAGCAACTTGATTCCATGCAACAACCAAAACAAAAAAGGCAAAATTCTGCTGGGCTTAAAAAAAAAGTCCTAATCTAAATTTTCCTAATGGTTTTTGTGGCAGGTGTCAGAGTTGAATAAAGGAAGAAAAAAAGGAAAAAGAGAAACTAAGACTGAAAATGCTGTACCTTTGCTCCAGCTGCCTCATGGCTGCAGTGATTTTATTGGTTTTTTCTTCTAGTCGGGCAATTATTTCATTTTTTTCTTTCAAGCCATCTTCAGAACCCTATTTAGAAAGGAAAAAGAAGCACTATAGTGGCTTTGATTTTTAAACCTAAATATTTCTAAGTTTTGTATACCATTTTACTATGGAATTTTTACTTTGAAATGAGCACAGCTAATTTGTAGATTAAAATACTCCTATGATAGGGGCGCCTGGGTGGCTCAGTGGTTGAAGCCTCTGCCTTCAGCTCAGGTCATGATCTCAGGGTCCTGGGATCGAGTCCCGAATCGGGCTCTCTGCTCAGCAGGGAGCCTGCCTCCTCCTGTCTCTCTCTGCCTACTTGTGATCTGTCAAATAAATAAAAAAAAAATTTAAAAATAAAATAAAATACTCCTATGATATAAAGCAGTAGAACCATCAGTCTTTAATTAAAATGGAATTTAAAAAAAATACTGCCTTCAGTATTTCTGGAAGACAGCAGAATAAACTCTTGTAAACTATGCTATTTTTCAAATTAAATAAAAAACTTTTGGCAATAAATCTACTTAAACAATGATGTCACTTTATGAGAGAATTCGTAAACAATTATTATAGTAATGCTTTTTTTTTCTCCAAGATTTTTTTATTTGAGAGAGAGAGTATGAACAGGGGGGAAGGGCAGAGGGAGAGAGAGAAGCAGAGAGAGAAGCTCCCTCCACTGAGCAGGGAGCCCAATGCGGGGCTGGATCCCAGGACTCTGAGATCATGACCTGAGTGGAAGGCAAACACTTAAATGACTGAGCCACCCAGGTACCCCTATAGTAAAGCATTTCCATCAAAATTAAATCTTTCTCAGGGCGCTTGGCTGGCTCAGTAGGTAAAGCATGTGACTCCTGATCTTGGGGTTGTAGATCTGAGCCCATGTTGCATGCAGGGATTACTTAAAAAAATAAAATCTTTGGGGTGCCTGGGTGGCCCAGTGGGTTAAGCCTCTGCCTTCGGCTCGGATCATGATCTCAGGGTCCTGGGATCGAGCCCCGCATCGGGCTCTCTGCTCAATAGGGAGCCTACTTCCCCTCTTTCTCTGCCTGCCTCTCTGCCTACTTGTGATCTCTGTCAAATAAATAAATAAAATCTTTAAAAAATAAATAAAATAAAATCTTAAAAAAAAAAATTAAAGGGGCACCTGGGTGGCTCTGTCAGTTAGGTATCTGACTTCAGCTCAGGTCATGATCTTGGAGTCCTGGAGTCAGGGCCTGTGCTGGTCTCCACAGTCAGCAGGGAGTGTGCTTCTCCTTCTGCCTCTGCCTCTGCCTCTACCCCTCCCTCGAGCTCATGCTCTCTTTCTCTCAAATAAATAACAGCTTTTTAAGAAAAAACAAATCTTTCTCAGGACTGTAGTATATAAAAGAATTCACAAAAATGTCCTGCATATTTAGACTGAGTTTTCCCAAAAGATTTAATCTTCATACTCAACACCTTTTGGTATTAAAAAAGAAATTCATATAAGTGATTTGTTTATTCTTTGATACCTATTCCATTGCTACACTTCTTAAGCTTCCATATAGAAAAAGAAGCTGCTGGTTTTTATTACTAGTATGGCACAGTTAAAAACCAAACCTTCATACAAAAAGTCATTTTCTTTTTCTTTTTTTTTCTTTTTTAAGATTTTATTTATTTGACAGACAGAGAAACAGCAAGAGAGGAAACAGAAGCAGGGGAGTGGGAGAGGGAGAAGCAGGATCCCCACTGAGCAGAGAGCCCGACGCAGGGCTCGATCCCAGGACCCCGGAATCATGACCTGAGCTGAAGGCAGATGCTTAACAACTGAGCCACTCAGGTGCCCCAAAAGTCACTTCCAATTTACATTAAACTCAAGAAATTCTAAGAATTTAAGAATGATCCTTACCTCCAAAACCTATGAAGAACTTATCAAACTTAACGCCCCCCCCAAATAATCCAGTTACAAAATGAACAGAAAACACGAATAGACACTTTTCTAAAGAAGATATCCAGATGGCTAACAGACACATAAAAAGATGCTGAACATCACTCATCATCAGAAAATACAAATCAAAACCACAATAAGATACCACCTCACATCTGTCAGAATGGCTAAAACTAACAACACAAGAAACAATAGGTGTTAGCCAGGATGCAGAGAAATGGGAACCCCTTGCACTGTTGGTGGGAACGCAAACTGATACAGCCACTCCGGAAAACAGTACGGAGGTTCTTCAAAAAGTTAAAAATAGAACTTATTTTAAAAAATAGAATACCCTATGATCCTGCAATTGCACTACTAGGTATTTACACAAAGAATACAAAAATATAGAGTTGAAGGGGGTACATGCACCCTGATGTTTATAACAGCATTATCAACAATGTATCAAACTATGGAAAGAGCCCAAATGTCCACTGACCAATGAGTGAATAAAGATGTGGTGTATGTATATGCATGTATGTGTGTGTATATATATAATGGAATATATGACTCAGCCATCAAAAAAGACATGGATGGATTTGCAAGGACACGGATGGAGCTACAGTGTATTATACTAAGTGAAATAAGTTAGAGAAAGACAAATACTGTATCATTTCATTCATATGTGTAATTTAAGAAACAAAACAGATAAACATATGGGAGGGGGTAAGAAAAAAAGAGAGAAACCATAAGACACTCTTAATGACAGAGAACAAACGGAGGGTTGCTGGAGGGAGGTGGGTGCGGGATGGGCTAGAAGGGTGATGGGTATTAAGGAGGGCACTTGAGCACTGGATGTTGTATATAAGTGATGAATCACTGATTTCTTCTCCACTGCAGGTTAATGGAACTAGAATTTAAATAAAAATTACAAAAAAAAAAAAAAAAAAGAATGATCCTTACCTGCAACTTTTGATACATTTCTATGTTAATTGCTTTAACTTCCTCTAGTTGTTGCCGAAGGCCTATCAGAGTATCCTGCTTCTCATGGATATCTTTCTCCAACAACTTCATAGCAAGTTCAATTTCATGTTTCATACTAACTTGTACCGCTAGCTCGTTTTCCACATCCTGAAATTTCAACACATCCTCAATTCACATACCACTTCAGGATGTCAAAAGTGAGACACATGACAGTTAATGAGAACACAAAGAGTTTTCTAATCACTATGTAGACTACTCTTTTTTTTTTTAATGGTTTCATGTCACTAGATATATATCTTTTTATTTTTAAAGGATTTTATTTTATTTGTCAGAGAGCATAAGCAAGGACAGCAGCAGGCAGAGGAAAAAGTAGGCTTCCTTCTGAGCAAGGAACCAGAAGAGAGACTCGACCCCAGGACCCTGGGAGCATGACCTGACCCAAAGGCAGATACTTAACCAAAGAGCCACCCAAGAGTCCCCATAGACCACTCTTAAAAAAATAAAAAAGTTCCACTCAATTTTGCTATGAACCTACTTGAAAAGATACAGTTTATTAATTTAAAAAATTTTTAAAAAGATACATAGACTACTCTTTTGAGGTTTAAGCCCCACTAGAGGGAATCAACTAGGTCGTATAACAATATAACACTAAATATTTTCAACTGTGTATTTTGTGAAAATGAAAGCATTTTCTAGATACTGTTAATTATCACTATTCTACTGGTTCAAAAATTAGGGGCACCTGGGTGGCTCCCCCCTCACTCTCTGCCTGCCTCCCTGCCTACTTATGATCTCTGTCAAAAAAATAAATAAAAAAAAATATTTTTATGCCTCATAACATCAGTATTAATTTTCCTTAATCAAAGAAATAAAGTAGTCTGGGGGTGCCTTGCTGGCTCAGTTGGAAGAACACGCAACTCTTGATCTTGGGGTCATGAGCTCCAGCCCCCACACTGGTATAGATATTACCTAAATAAATAAAACTTAAAAAAAAAAAAAACACAGATATAAAGTAGTCCATACAAGTGAAGGCCAAAGAGAACTCAAAAACCCCACTTCACAGTTTTAATTTCTTCTCTTAAAGAATTTTACATTGGGGGTGGGGCGATGAAGTGACCTGATGATGGGCATGAAGGGGGGCATGTGATGTGCTGAGCACTGGATGTTATACGCTCCTGATGAATCACTGACCTCTACCTCTGAAACAAATAATAAACTACATGTTCAACTGAAATTTTTTTTAAAAAGATTTTATATGACAGAGAGAGACACAGCGAGAGAGGGAACATAACCAGGGGGAGTGGGAGAAGGAGGAGGAGAAGCAGGCTGACTGCCAAGCAGGGAGCCCAATGCGGGGCTCGATCCCAGGACTCTGGGATCAGGACCTGAGCCGAAGGCAAATGCTTAACTACTGAGCCACCCAGGAGCCCCTCAATCGAATTTAAATAGAACTAAATTAATTTTTTACATCAAAACAAAAAGAAGTTTCCTAATATTAAAAACAAACAGAAAAAGGGATGGAAAGGCTGGCAAGATGGAAAGTCTCTTCTTGGGACGCCTGGGTGGCTCAGTGGGTTAAGCCTCTGCCTTCGGCTCAGGTCATGATCTCAGGGTCCTGGGATCGAGTCCCACATCGGGCTCTCTGCTCAGCGGGGAGCCTGCTTTCCTCTCTCTCTCTCTCTCTGCCTGCCTCTCTGCCTACTTGTGATCTCTGTCTGTCAAATAAATAAATAAAATCTTTAAAAAAAAAAAAAAAAAAAAGAAAGTCTCTTCTTGATCTGGGTGGTGATTATACAGGTATTTATGTTATAACCCATTATGCTGTACATTTGTATTTTGCTGTAGGCATTAGATCAATTTGAGTTAAAAAAATTCATTAATTTTTTAAAAGATTTTATTTATTTATTAATTTATTTCAGAGCGAGAGAAAGCGAGTGAGTGAGGATGAGCTGGGAAGGGGTCAGGAAGGGGGAGCGAGAGAATCCCAAGCAGACTCCGCACTGAGCACACAGCTCATTGCAGGGCTCCATCACACCACCCTGAGATCACAACCTGTCCTAAAATCGAGAGTCTGATGCTCAACTGAGTCACCCAGGTACCCCATTCATTTTTTTAGAAGTAACTTCTATGCCCAACATGGGGCTGGAAATTACCCCAAGATCAAGAGTCGCGTGCTCTACCAACTGAGCCAGCCAGGCACCCCGAAAATAAGTTAATTTTAAATATGATCTGGAGCACGTGGGGGGCTCAGTCAGTTGAGCCTCTGCCTTCAGCTCAGGTCATGATCTCAGGGTCCTGAGACTGAGCCCCTCGTCAGGCTCTCTGCCCAGTGACAAGTCTGTTTCTCCCTCTCCCTCTGTGATCTCTTGCTTTCACTCTCTCTCAAATAAGTAAAATCTTAAAAAAAAATTTTTAATACCATTTTAGTCCTATATGAATTGATCATTCTATTCAATTTTGGTTTTCTAATGCTGGTCACAATCATTCATTTCAGAGTTTAAAACCACTTTAAAAACACTTGAGGGCGCCTGGGTGGCTCAGTGGGTTAAGCCGCTGCCTTCGGCTCAGGTCATGATCTCAGGGTCCTGGGATCGAGTCCCGCATCGGGCTCTCTGCTCGGCAGGGAGCCTGCTTCCCTTCCTCTCTCTCTGCCTGCCTCTCTGCCTACTTGTGATCTGTCTGTCAAATAAATAAATAAAATCTTTAAAAAAAAAAAAAAAAACACTTGATAAAATGGGAACGTAAAGAATTTGAAGGGTTGTAAGGGGGTGAGATTTCTATCCCACAGCAAGGCAGATAAGGCTGAAAAAGAGATTTTAAGGGGTGCGTGGGTGGCTCAGTCAGTTTGTCTGCTTTGGCTCAGGTCATGATCCCAGAGTCCTGGGATCAAGGTCCACATAGGGCTCCCTGCTCAGTAGAGAGTCTGCTTCTTCCTCTGCCCCTCACCCAACTTGTGCTCTTTCACTCTGTCTCTATCACATAAAAAAAAAGTCTTTTTTTTTTTTTTAAAGATTTTATTTATTTGTCAGAGAGAGAGAGAGAGAGAGAGCGAGCAAGCACAGGCAGACAGAATGGCAGGCAGAGGCAGAGGGAGAAGCAGGCTCCCTGATGAGCAAGGAGCCCGATGTGGAACTCGATCCCAGGACGCTGGGATCATGACCCGAGCTGAAGGCAGCTGCCCAACCAACTGAGCCACCCAGGCGTCCCAAAAAAAAAAGTCTTAAAAAAAATTTTTTTTAAAGATTTTAATGATGCTTAAGGGTAAATTATGATGATGATGATTATTTTGCTAATGTAAACTACCTGTCTTAACTGAGATTCATCTCGAAGCTGCCTTCTGGCTTCGTTGTACATTTCATCCAGCCCCTGCCGAGAATGCTTATATGTCTGAAGCTCAGTTTCCACATCCACTTTGGTAACCTAGGAAGAAAACAACAAGTTTTTTACTGTATAATCACTACTATCAATACAGCACAGAAATAAATATCCCATATATGCAAAAGTTCCCAAAAGGGGCAATTTCTGACACAAGACAGTCTGTTTGCAATTAGTCCATACGTACCTCCAGGTGCTGCTGTGTTTTCATTAAAATCAATTTATTTTCACTTCGTAATTGATGATTTTCTTCTTGGAGTTTAATGATATTATTTTTTGCTATTGCTAACTAAAGATTATGAAACAGGGACAAGAAAAAAGATTTTAAACATCTTTACTTATACTTGCTTTATGTTTGGTTATGTTCATTGCTATAAACAATAGAATATAAAAGCTTAAAACTAGTCAAATGTCTCACATCTATAGAAGCTTTCATAAGAAAAATGCTATTATCCTAAGATACTAATAAAAAAAACTGAACTCTTATTTCTAGCATTTCCTCTTTTTTTTTTAGCATTTCCTCTTATTAGTCAAAATATATGTTAAAATATATCATGCGTATCTGATTTAAATATGTTCTGAATACAAAGTGTCATGAAACAGACTGTAAAGTCCTGTATAAGGATAAAAAGATCTGTAAGAAGGCTGTGTATCATTGCAAATGTGATACAGACCTTCATGATAATCAAATTGGAACACCCTCTGAAACAGAGAACACAGAGGGACCATCACAACTATGAGACATTTCTCACCATCAGAGTTAAACTAAGTGGCCTGGTTCTGAGGCCTACAGTGAAAAGAGGGATTCTAAGAAAGGAAAGCAAGCACCACCCCCAATGTTGGCTTGTAAATAAGTTTCTGAACATTTCATCAGGGATATAACTTGAACTTCGCAGTGCACCTAGGGCCAAAAAGAGGCACAAACTTGAGAGCAACTCTAATGGTCCCAATGACCAACAGACACATGACAAGATGCTCAACATCGCTCATCATTAGGGAAATGCAAGTTAGAACTACAATGAAAGACCACCCATCAGAATAGCGAAAATCAAAAGCACAAGAAACAACAGGTATTGGCGAGGATGTGTTGGGGGGAAAGGAACCCTCAGTGCACAATTGGTGGAAATACAATGCAGTCACTGTGGAAAACAGTATAGAGTTTCCTCAAAAAATTAAAAATAGAACTACCCTGCAATCCAGTAATTGCACTACTGTATTTAACCCAAAATACAAAAGCACTAATTCAAAGAGATACATGCATTCCTGTCTACTGCAGCATTATTTACAACAGCCAAACTATGGCAGTGGCCCAAGCGTCTATTGATAAATGAATGGATAAAGAAGATGTGGCATGTGGATGGAATGTTATTCAGCAATGAAAAAGAATGAAATCTTGCCATTTGGAACAACATGTATAGTGCTACAGAGTTTACTGCTAGGTGAAGTCAGTCAGTCTGAGAAAGACAAATACCGTATGATCTCACTCATATGTGGAATTTAAGAAACAAATGAGCAGAGGCGCCTGGGTGGCTCAGTCAGTTGAGCGTCTGCCTTCGGCTCAGGTCATGATCCCAGGGTCTTGAGATCGGGCACCACACCAGGCTCCCCGCTCCATGGGGAGCCTGCCTCTCCCTTTGCCTCCCTCTTGTGAATAAATAAAATCTTAAAAAAAAAAAAAGAGAAAAGGAAAAAAAAAAAAAAAAAAGAGAGAGAGAGAGAAACCAAGAAACAGATTCTTAACTGTAAAGAACAAACTTATGGTCACCAGAGGGGAAATGGGTGGGGGATGGATGAAATAGGTGACGGGGATGAAAGAATACACTTATCATGATTAAAACACAAAACAACGGACAGTGCTGGGTGGCTCAGTGGTTAAGCCTCTGCCTTCAGCTCAGGTCATGATCTCGGGGTCCTGGATCGAGCCCCACATCGGGCTCTCTGCTCATCGGGGAGCTTGCTTCTCCCTCTCACTCTCTGCCTGCCTCTCTGCCTACTTGTGATCTCTGTCAAATAAATAAATAAAATCTTTAAGTGATCCGAAGGGGCACATGCACCCGAATGTTTATAGCAGCAATGTCTACAATAGCCAAACTATGGAAAGAACTTAGATGTCCATCAACAGACGAATGGATAAAGAAGATGTGGTATATATACACAATGGAATACTATGCAGCCATCAAAAGAAATGAAATCTTGCCATTTGCGACAACGTGGATGGAACTAGAGGGTATCATGCTTAGCGAAATAAGTCAATCGGAGAAAGACAACTATCATATGATCTTCCTGATATGAGGGAGAGGAGATGCAACATGGGGGGTTAAGGGGGTAGAAGAAGAGTAAATGAAACAAGATGGGATTGGGAGGGAGACAAACCATAAGTGACTCTTAATCTCACAAAACAAACTGAGGGTTGATGGGGGGAGGGGGGTTGGGAGAGGGGGGGTGGGGTTATGGACATTGGGGAGGGTATGTGCTATGGTGAGTGCTGTGAAGTGTGTAAACCTGGCGATTCACAGACCTGTACCCCTGGGGATAAAAATATATTATATGTTTATAAAAAAAATAAAATTATAGGATAGAGAGTTAAAAAAAATAAATAAATAAAATAAAATCTTTAAAAAATAATAAAAATAAAAATAAAAAACAAAACAGAAACACTATCAAATGGTCCCAAACTATCAAAATAAAGATGCATTTGCAGTCATGCAAATAATGATGTGCTCCCTGGTTTGAAAAAATTAGGCCAGTTCTAAAAGAAATAAGAATTTTAATTAACACAGAAAGGAGGGTTTAGAGCACTCATGACAGATTTCTTCCTCTAGCCTAAATAATTCTGAAAACAGAAAGCAGTAACTCTGTGGCTTGATTAAAAAAAAAAAAAAAAAAAAAAAAACCTTATCTAAAGCAACTCTACAGACAGTATTACAGAGATCAATTTCTGGTCTGGGACCACCAGATAGCCGCTCTGACAATGCAAGAAACCAGAGCACTCGAGATGAGGTTGATATGTGGTTGTGTGGAGAAGGATGGCCACGATGGTACAGAGCTGCTGGTAAAGAAAAGTAATCGAATAGTAGAACAAGACGAACAGTATCATTTTAACGGGAATTTCTAACTGTAGATGATTCACTATCTAAATAGAGGTCACCCAGATTTTAAAAAGAGAATCACAGCTTATTTATAGAAGAGCTTCTGTGAGTGTCATCTTTGGGGCTCATTTCTAGGAGTATTTCATACAATTCACAGATTTACCTGAGACTTTACCTGAGAAAATGAGGTTTTTCTAGAGCTTACAATCATCAATTATAACTACATCGCAAGCATTCCATCATGATGAAAATGTGTGTGCGCACACGCATACTTAGCGTATTCATACTTAAAATGGAAAAGGATCACAAATACTCGGTCTGTGTCAGACAATTATCCATGGCCGGGTTACAATACCTCTTCAATCAGCTTAGTATTTGACTTTTCTAATGAGTCAACTCTTGAATGGAGACTGCTGACTGTGCTGCTGAAATTAACAAAGAAAAAACTCATTCAAATCACACAAATTCACAAAAGTCAGAAAAGGTATATTATCTTGGACTTACCATGGTACCTAACAGGCACCAACTACCCTGAATTTTTGAGTGTGGGCAATTTCATTAAGTTGAATAACCAGATTTGGCTAGGAAAGCAAAAGAGACTGAAGCTTTTTGGTGTTCACTATTTTCTGCAGTCTTCTTAGGGTCCTTCTTACATTTAAATTGTAATACTGAGGAATGGATTCCACACAAACACTACCAAATATTGTTAAAACTTAATTTAAAATTATCTTTTAAAGGATGAACTTTAAATATCCGCTCGATAATTAAGTGGCTTAATTAGCATTTACAGCAGTCTTCAACACAAGCCCCATTCGGTTTCCACTTGCCACTTTCATAATCACTTAAAGCCTCTAAAGTCACCATAGTTTGGGACAATGTGAATATGAAATTCCCATCGGGTACCCGGTCAGCCTGCAGCTAAGCAAACACCCTGACTTTCAAAGATATAGTTAAAAGTCAGGTTAAGCCAAATGAACAACTTGGTTTTTTGCACAGTTACTTAAACTGATCAAGACTGGACATTACTGTACATTTTTTTCTGCATTTTTATAAATCTCAATAAAAAACTGTATTTCAAACTGTACAGTCACCAGAAGTACACAGTTATCAAAAATGCACACACTTCACTTGGCATCTCTGAGACTAGACATTACTGTATGTTTTATTTAATTTGTTTTTCAAGGCCTTGTTTCTACCATCTCAAGCTTTAATAATATAATATGCTCTTTACATTACAATTTAATAGATTTAAACAAATTTTATGCCAGCCTCAGAAATAAATATTGGCATTTTAGTTTAACTGGTGAAACAAGAAAAATATTTTTTCATTCATATTAAATCATTTTTAAATACAATCATTCTTAGGGAAACAACTTGAGTTTTTCACAAACAGCAACAGGGTATCTGGATGGTGAGACATTAACAGATGTGGGACTAGGACAGAGGACCAAAGTTAAGAGTCCCTGCTTTTCGACTTTCTGTGTCACCTTGAAAGCTTTAAGACCTTTCTGAGCTTCAGTTTCCTTATCTTTAAATCAGACAATAATATCTGTCCTGCCTTTATGTGAGAATCAATAAAACATTAATCAAAAAAGTACTTTTGAAAATAAACCCTCAAGAGTTTTCTTTGAATGAGGGCTAATATGTGAGTTCCAATTTTTTCTTCATCTGTTTTCTATATTTTTTTAAATACTCTAAATATACAAAAACATTCCAACTGGAAAAACAATGGAACATTTTTAAATTCGTAGAATGTACAAAAGTAAGGCACTAGTACTGCTATAAATGAGTTAATACACATAATTTAAAAGAGAATGAGAAAACTCCTTGAACCAAATTGAACAGATTCTAAGATAAACTGTTGAGTAAGACAGTGAACTACAGAAGAGTATAAAAATTATGCTACTTTATGTGTAAAAAACCAACGGGAAGGTGAGAACTTCAAGAAAATATACATACGTATTCTTGTCTATTTGTATGAAGTATCTCTGGAGGCATACACAAGAACCTATTAATTCCCAAAGAGGGAAACCAGATGGTTGGATCAGGGAAGAGGGAGGATTTTTTTTTCATGTTCCTATTGAAGTTTTGAAGTTTAAACTATATGAATATATTACCTGTTGCCAAAAGTGAATAAAGCTTTAACAGTAAGTAAATAAGCAATATTAAGTTGCATTTGGAAATATAATCTCAGAATTACAAATTATAAGATACACATAGATACACATATATTTCCTATGATATCTTTTATTAAAACTCTACTTTTAAAAAAAAGACAATGATACAACATAGTTCCTATCTCTCCAAGTTCAGAGAAAGCAAGAGTTACAGCTTCTTAGTTTCTCTAAAATGGGAAAGTGTTTAATTGTATTTCTGACTATTGAATTAAACTTAGAAAATCAGAGAAGTACAAAGAATAAAAGAGAAATTATCCATAATCCCATCACCCAGAGATAGCCATTTTTGCTAATTATTTATTTTAATTAATGGAACAGTCCATTTCTAACTATGTAGCAAATATTATTCACTATACCTGTGCTATCTAGTCCAACTAAAACGTACCACAACTGTAAAATATACATTGGATTATAAAGATAATACAAAGAATACAAAATACCTCATGAACAATTTTTACATTGATTAATGTTGAAATGATAGATTTTGGGTATACTGGGTTGAATAAAATGTATTTTTAAATTAATTTCATGTTTTTTACCTTTTTAATGTGGTTACTAAAAATTTTAAATTATCTATATGACTCACATTTTATTTCTATTAGTCAGAGCTGCACGTACTATTTTACACATAGATCTCAGAAATTCTTCCAAGTATTCACTGACAGCTTCAATGCCAGTTAACATGATAAGGCAAAAACTCCCACCATGGGAGGCGACAGCCACATTTACACATGAAGCTCTCTGAAGTAGGAAAAATGAATCTGTGAACTATGAAAATGATATAAACTTCCACCCTACCTAATCTGTTCTTCTCAAGGATAAAGAGATAAGTTTGAAATTCTGTCTTTATTTTTTTGACCCCTCCCCAGAAATTCTATTTTTAAATTCTCCAAATGTTCTATTTGAAAATCTGACTCTTGGGATACCTGGGTGGCTCAGTCAGTTAAGAGGCTGCCTTCTGCCGAGGTTATGACCCCAGGGTCAAGCCCCACATCAGGATCCCTGCTCAGCGGGGAGTCTGCTTCTCTTTCTGCTGTTTCCCCATGCTTGTGCTCTCTCTACTCTCTCTCTCTCAGATAAAAAAATCTTAAAAAATAAAATATAAAGTCTGACTCTCATTTTTTGGAAATTAATTATCTCCAATAATTCTCTGTATTCTTAATCTCCATTCTCTACTCCCTCAACACTTTCTCAAAGATGTTTAGTAGGAACAGGACAAAGCAGACCTGAAAATGGTGAAGAAAACCTCTAAAACAATAGTCACAAATATCCAAGTAACCATAATACTTACTTCAGTTGTCGATTTAATTCTTCAACATAATTCTTCTGGTCTAATATGGCAGCAATTTGAACATTCCTAAAGAGGGGAAAGGAAGCCTTGCGTCAGATGGAAAGGTGTTTACTGGGTGACCAAAAAAAGTCTACATCACCTAAAATTGCCATAATGACAAAAAACATTATCTTGCCTTTAGAATAAAATTCAAGAATCTTTTTTTTTTTTTTTAAAGATTTTATTATTTATTTATTTGACAGAGAGAGATCACAAGTAGTCAGAGAGGCAGGCAGAGAGAGAGAGAGGGAAGCAGGCTCCCCGCCGAGCAGAGAGCCCGATGCGGGGCTCGATCCCAGGACCCTGGGATCATGACCCGAGCCGAAGGCAGAGGCTTAACCCACTGAGCCACCCAGGCGCCCTCAAGAATCTTTTTAATAATGTAGCAGTAGGCTGTGTACGAATTATATAACCTTTGTTAAGTCTAATATTAGCAAGTAATACCATTAAAAAGTATATTTAAGAATTCTTGGGGCGCCAGGGTGCCTCAGTGGGTTAAACCTCTGCCTTTAGCTCAGGTCATGGTCTTGGGATTCTGGGATCGAGCCCCGCATCGTAAGAAGCTTTCATCTCTTTTATCATAAAAAAAAAAACCCCAGCAATTAAAATGGGTCTCAGGAACTACAAGTCTGACCACAAGCCATACTTCATACTAAAGCCACCTCCTTCTATGTGATTTTGTTTTATAAAACTTGTATATGTAAGCGAAATAAAACAAGTGAAACAAAACATTTGTGAGTCTAAAATGAAACAAAGATTTTTGCTTTGTAGAACTTGTATATGGAAGCGAAATTAAACAAAGCAGGAACTACACACAGAATAAGGAAATAAAAACTACACTGTCCAAAAAAAAACAAAACAAACGAAGAGACCCAGAAAACTACATTATCAATAGATGGACCTCATGGTGACTTGTAAAGAGCTACATAAAAAATACAACACGAGAAATAACTTACAAAACATACCTTTCTTTATTTCCGATATCTTCTTCGTTCTTTAAATACATGGAAAAATCAATCACTCCAACCTAAAGTAAATCATGTTAATCTTAGTTAAAGGAGGAAAATATTAGAAGTATATTTAACATGCAACTGAATTTCATTCTTAATTTTTCTTTAGTGTTTAACAGCATTGTTTACAACTGGATCCAAGAGGAACAGGGCAAACTAAAAACACTCTGCATTTGGTACAAGTCACTTTCACTTACTTGTGAGTCTAAATCTTCTCCCTTTACACACAGGTTAGCATCTATCACATTAAGGCCAACCAGCAGCCCAACAATTACTGCTCCTTCTTCTTCCATCATTAGCGCATGATACTCATAAAATTCACTGCGGAAATTAAAATAAAAACCTTAAAATAAAAATTTAAGCACCAAATTTTAAAATCTCAGCCCCATAATATAAACATGGAACCCATTCAAATTTGGTCTCTTCAAATTAGCCTTTCTATACATGAGTAACTCAAACATTTTGAAACGTTAATGTCCATGTAAACACAGTAAAAGAATGGGACTGAAGGAGAAGAAAGAGGAAAAAGAATTTTGAGAGAAAGAAAAGAGAAGCAAAGAGATACAGATCAAAAGAAAAAGAGACATCACTGAGGCCTAGACTATCTGGGACTCAGAAGACATAGTAACTGTTACTGATTTGATTATAAAACTTTTTATTAGAGTTGACTTTTTAAATCTAGGATTTATTAAGAATCTTGGGATGAAGACTAAGGTAGGGAATGAATATATGAAACATTCCAAAGCCCATGTTCAAATCAGTGTATTTGATATGTATATTCCAAGTAATCTTAATAGTCATCACTTAAGGATACTTATGGCTATCTATATTCTAAAAAATGTTTAAACAAGAGACTTAGGAAAGAAACAGAGAAGACTTGACAATTATGTATTCATAGAACTAATTATCACTGTCTCATGCCTTCCTCAAGAAGTCCCATGTACTGTTTAGTCACTTTAATTGAGCTTCAAAATATTACTGAGAAACTGCTGGTGCTTAATGTATGGTCATTCTCATTTAACAATGGGAAAACCAAGATGTACAACCACAGTCATAATAATCAGATTCTCCAGAACATCAGACAGGCACTCCAAGAGAACAAGGGTAAACAGAGAGACTGCTATGGGCCACTTCCTCTAACACCTGATTACCATAATTTGAAAGTCTGTCTTAAACATCTGGCTATCTATTTATTTATAATATCTATTTATTTACAATTTATTCAAGAAGTGAATACTGAAAACAAAAGTTTCAATGAGGGTGTTAATCAGAGCCATGTTCAGTATTACATTTACATTTTTCAAAAGGATGAATCCATTCTGTGTTAAATAAAAAGCTTCAAAAGTAATCAATGAATGGTCCCTATGATGAGAGCTATTCTTGTAATCGAGCAGATTTCTAGATCAGTGCATAGACCAGGCTATTTATAAACTTGACTTCCCATCAACTTCAGCACGATGTCAACTAACAAGTTAATGTTTTCCAGTCATCTTCACTATGACACTTAACTGCCAGCACTCACTCGCCTTCAATTTAAACTGACAGTTTAAAAAGTGCCTACAACATGGCCAAAGCAACAGTTTAGACATTCAGGTTCTAAAACCTGTTGGGGAGCCTGGATGGCTCAGTTGGTTAAGTGTCCGAATGTTGATTTTGATTCAGATCATGATCTCGGGGTCGTGAAATTGAGACCCATGCGAGCTCCGCCCTGGACACTGAGTTTGTTTAGGATTCTCTCTCTCTCCCTCAGTAGCTCCCCCATCTCCCTCTTAAAAAATATAAAATAAGAAACCTGTCAAATTAAAGCCCCCAATCCCAACAGAAATTTTTATTCGTAGAATTAACTGTAATTTAGAAAAAAAAAAAAAAAAACTAGCTTAGAGGGCACCTGGGTGGCTCAGTTGGTTAAGCCACTGATCAAGTCATGATCCCAGAGTCCCGGGATCAAGTCCCGCATTGGAAAACATTAACTTGCTCCACGGAGTCTGCTTCTCCCTCTGACCTTCTCCCCTCTTACACTCTCTCTCACTGTCTCTCTCATTCAAATAAATAAAACCTTAAAAAAAAAAAAAGAGCTTAGAAATATAACATATAAATAAATAATCCTCTTACTGGTCAATACAAAGCTTATGGTATTCAGTTTTTAAGCAAATTCATGATCTATATTATGTCCCTACATGATTTTCTCTCTCATGTTGCTCTTTTAATGCCATCTTATTGTATTTTATGTATCCTTCTAAACTACATCTTTAATTCTTTTTGGAAAACAGGATACAAATGAAATTTTTTAAATGGAAATGAATATGATTTAATGGTACTAACCTTAAGAGATCCCTCTGAATAATTAAGCAACGCAGGTAATCAGCCATTTTTTTTTGCATGAGGGCTAATCGAAGCCATGCTCTTGCACGACCTAGCGGGGTCCTAAAAAGCAAAACCAATTAGTCAGAAGACAGGCCCAGTCCAGGGCTACCTGGGTGACTCAGTGGGTTAAAGCCTCTGCTTTCGGCTCAGGTCATGATCCCAGGGTCCTGGGATAGAGCCCCGCATCGGGCTCTCTGCTCAGCAGGGAGCCTGCTTCCCTTCCTCTCTCTCTGCCTACCTCTGCCTACTTGTGATCTCTGTCAAATAAATAAATAAATAAACAAACAAAATCTTAAAAAAGAAAAAGAAAAGAAGACAAGCCCAGTCCATATATTGTAACAGATTACATATTTTATCTCTGTCAAGGTTCATATTAACAAAGGAAAACTGCAATTTACCATGATTTTGTCTGTTTCTACAGGTGTTTTTTGTTTGTTTGTTTCTACAGTTTTTTAAGCCAGCTGCTTGAGCATGCAAACCAACCCCTGGGAGCTATTTTGGTCTCTAAGGTAAATCTGCACATACAGGACATAGAAGTACCATTTTATGCCTTGGAAGAAATGACTCTGTAAAAACTGAGGATTATCTCTACAAAAATATTTTGACTGAATGGGCTTAACTGTCTCAGGATGAATATACAAGGGGTGGGTGTCCGGCTGGCTCAGTCAGTAGAGCATGTCATTTTTATTCTCCAGGTTGTGAGTTCAAGATCCACACTGGGAGTGGAGGTTACTTAAAAAAAAAAAATTTTTAAATGTGGATATGCAAAATGCATCAAATAAGGCAGTATAATGCCTTCGAAAAGTGACATTATATCTGAATTTTAAAAATCATAACAAATTAAAAAAAAAAGATTATAAAGCTAGAAGGGCACCGAGCTGGTAATCAAAAAGAGAGAAATCACCAGGCTGCATGTTATTTTTCAAATGTTTCTCTATGAGGTTGTCCTTAAAAAAGTCAATCCCATACTTCTTAACCAAGTGCTATTGTTTAGTATAAGTAAAATCAGATTTTACAAAATATGTACAGTTTTTCAAAGAGAAAGATATCATTCACACTTCTATGTTTTCTTATACAAAGAACGTTTTGGCATGTAGTGTGGGAGGTAAGTTAATCTTCACTAACAGCTACTGAGCTTCTATGGTTTAGCAGTTGAATGAATACCATTCTTCAGAAAACATTACTTTTGAAGAGTTAGCCTTTTATTTTTTAAGATTTTATTTATTTACTTGACAAACAGAGATCACAAGTAGGCAGAGAGGCAGGCAGAGAGAGAGAGAGGGGTATCAGGCTCCCCGCTGAGCAGAAAGACCGATACGGGGCTTGATCCCAGACCCTGAGATCATGTCCTGAGCCAAAGGCAGAAGCTTAACCTACTGAGCCACCCAGGTGCCGCAAGAGTAATGCTTTTTAAAAATAATATGAATGTGTATTTTTCATATTAAAATGACCAAATCTTACATTTCTATTTAAGATTTTTATTTTTTATTTTTTATTAACGTATAATGTATTACTTGCCCCAGAGGTACAGGTCTGTGAATCGCCAGGCTTACTCAATTCACAGCGCTCACCACAGCACATACCCTCCCCAATGTCTATAACCCAGCCACCCTATCCCTCCCTGCCCCCTCCCCCCCGGAACCCTGTTTGTTTCCTGAGATTGAGAGTCTCTTATGATTTGTCTCTCTTCCAATCCCATCTTGTTTCATTTTTCCCTTCCCTACCCCTCACGACTTCCAGCCCTGACTCTCAAATTCCTCATATCAGTGAGATCATATGATAATTGTCTTTCTCTGATTGACTCATTTTGCTCAGCATAATACCCTCTAGTTCCACCCAGGTCATTGCAAATGGCAAGATTTCGTTTCTTTTGATGACTGCATAGTATTCCAGTGTGTGCGTGCGTGCGTGCGTGTGCGTGTGTGTGTGTGTGTGTGTACCACCTCTTCTTTATCCATTCATCTGTTGATGGACATCTAGGCTCTTTCCATAGTTTAGCTATTGTGGACATTGCTGCTATAAACATTCAGGTGCATGTAGTGACCTTCGGGTCACTAGATTTATATGTTTAGGGTAAATACCCAGTAGTGCAATTGCTGGGTCAGAGGGTAGCTCTATTTTCAACTTTTTGAGGAACCTCCATACTGTTTTCCAGAGTGGCTGCACCAGCTTGCATTCCCACTAACGGTGTAGGAGGGCTCCCCTTTCTTTGCATCCTCATCAACATCTGTCATTTCCTGACTGGTTAATTTTAGCCATTCTGGCTGGTGTGAGGTGGTATCTCACTGTGGTTTTTAATTGTATTTCCCTGATGCTGAGTGATGTGGAGCACTTTTTCATGTGTCTGTTGGCCATTTGGATGTCTTTGCAGAAATGTCTGTTCATGTCCTCTGACCATTTCTTGATTGGATTCTTTGTTCTTTGGGTATTGAGTTTGATAAGTTCTTTATAGATTTTGGATACTAGCCCTTTATCTGATAGGTCATTTGCGAATATAAGATTTTATTTTTAAAGTAATCTCTACACCCAATGTGGGGCTTGAACTCACAACTCAGAGATTAAAAAGTCACATGCTCCACCGACCAAGTCAGCCAGGTGTCCCTTCTTATATTTCTCTTTTTGAGAGTTATAATTCCCTTTTTCTTTTATCTTTGCTAAAAATCACTACACCCAATATTCTATTATAAGAAACATCAACCGTGAACATCACTTGATATTTAACTCTAAAAACTAGATTTGAGGAACATGGTTGGCTCACTCAGTCAAGCATGCAATTCTTGATCTCAGCATCAGGAGTTTAAGCCCCACAGTAAGCAGAGAGATTACTTACAAAAATAATAATAATAAATAAAAATTTAAAAACTGGGTTTGAATCCTGGCTCTGCCACTTATTAACTGTTAACTCCTCTGAACTTTATTTTTCACATCTATGCAATTATTATAATAATCTCTACCCTGTAAGACTGGTGTAAACACTAAATAAGATAATTCATGTAAATCAATTATTTTATTACCCTGAGACAGTGCTTCCTAGTAGCCATTTACTTTTATCATTCAATTATTTGGATGTTGTGTTAACAGCCAGAAAACACTACGGTATTCCTTACAACATGTAAAACCCTCAGGCACCTGGGTGGCTCAGTTAAATGTTTGCCTTCAGCTCAGGTCATGATCCCATGGTCCTGTGGTCAGTATATTGGGCTCCCTGCTCAAAGGGGAGTCTGCTTCTCCCTCTGCCCCTCCCCTTGCTTCTCTTGCTCACTCTCTCTATAACCAAAAAACCTTAAAAAAAAAAAAAATGCAAAACCCTCAATTATAAAGCTAAGAGAAAGCGAACTGGTAATCTGACAGAAAATGCTAAGAAAAAAAAAAAAAAGGTCATCTCATTCACAAGAATTAACAACACTTTATACCTTTATTCAGCCCTTACAATATTTTGTATAGATTTGTCTAGTGAAATGGACAGGTGACACTATAGGTCCCAGTTTTCAGAGAAAGAAAAGTAATTTGCACAAGCCCCATATATATAAATGGCTTATCTGAGAATTCAAATCTCCTGAGCCTTTGCCCTGGAGTTAGTCTAAATCAGTCTTCAACAAATAGTTACGGGGCTGCCAACTAGCTTACTACTGCAAACTAGCTTAACACTCGGGAAACAGAAATGCATAATTGATACATCCTATCTTAAAGGGACCTGCAGTTTCCTGCAATATAATGTAGAATTGAAGTGAAGGAGTGAATATAGCTATAGGGTATAAAAGAAAAAGCAGTTAATTCTTACTGAAGGGACTAAGAAATCTCATAAAGGAAATGAAATAGTAACTGAGCCATAAAGATCAGAATTCTACTAGGAAAGAATGGAGGAAGACTACTTAAGGCTGAGAGAAGATTATAATAGAGTGTGAGGTACTTTTAAGGAATAGTAAATACACTTTTGCAGTTAGAAATGAACAAGTAAGGGCGCCTGGGTGGCTCAGTGGGTTAAAGCCTCTGCCTTCGGATCAAGTCATGATGCTAGGGTCCTGGGATCAAGCCCCACATCGGGCTCTCTGCTCAGCAGGGAGCCTGTTTCCCCCTCTCTCTGCCTGCCTCTCTGCCTACTTGTGATCTCTGTCTGTCAAATAAATAAATAAAATCTTAAAAAAAAAATGAACAAGTAATAAATTTACTTACTTAAGACCAGGTAAATCCCGGACACTGGCTCCTATTTCCTCTGCTTCCGGGTACAGCTTTTCCACCAGTTCCAAGGGGCCCCAGATAGTTTTGTTATAACTCAAAAATGATTTTCTTACTGGGAAAAAAAAAGTATATGTAATGCATACAACTCCAACATATAAAACTAATAATTTATTTTTAAATATTTAGTTTCAACATTTCTAACTTAAAATACAATTGCTCAGAGACTTTCCTCTCTTATCACTACACAGCACTGTTGATCAGGGACCTGCTCATCAGGATCCTGCTATTTTTTCTTATCAGAAATATGCAAAGAAGAAAGAGAGAAGGAAAGAAAATAAATATGCATCTTGGCCATTCTTCCTTATCAGAAATATGCAGGCAGGTAATTAAAGTAAAAAAACAACTGGCCTTATTCTTTACCAGTACCAAAACAAAAAGCCTGGCAGCCCTAGCAGGTTAATCTTTATCAGTTTATTAAATAAATCAAGGACAAATAAAAAGTTATTTTTAACATGAAAAATTGTGACTTATTTTATTCTGAGAATCGGGCAACATAATACCATAAATCACTACATATTTTTCTTTCTTTCTTTTTTTTTTTAAAGATTTTACTTATTTATTTGACAGAGAGAGAGCACAAGTAAGCAGAGCAGCAGGCAGAGGGAGAGAGAGAAGCAGGCTCTCCGATAAGCAGGGAGCCCGACGCGGGGCTTGATCCCAGGACCCTGGAATCATGACCTGAACCGAAGGCAGCTGCTTAACCAACTGAGCCACCCAGGCGCCCCTATATATTTCTTTCTTAATATTGACCAGATCTCCTGCAGATCAAGGGCCCCTATCATACGTACCACCCAAGGACAATCACCAAGATAGGCAATTTTTCTTTGCTGGGTGGGTGAGGGGGATCAATCAACACAAAGTAGCTTCACAAGGATTCATTAAGACAAGCCTATGATAGGACTGTTAGGACATGCCTTATGGTATTTTGTGAAGTAAAGGAAAATAAATTCAGAGAAGAGCTTAAACTTTAATTGGCCATCATTTAGCAAATTCCGTTTCTGCAACCCAAGAGAAAACAAAGATTAAAAGTTTTTCAAAAAACAAATTAAAATTTGGGATGCCTGGGTGGCTCAGTCCATTAAGCAGCTGCCTTCAGCTCAGGTCATGATCCCAGAATCCTGGGATCGCAAATCCCGCATTGGGCTCCTTGCTCAGTGGAGAGCCTGCTCCTTTCTCTCCCTCGGCCTGCCGCTCTGCCTGCTTGTGCTCTCTATCTCTCTGTCAAACAAATAAATAAAATCTTTTAAAAAAGGAAAGCAAATTAAAATTCAAGGTGTTAAAAAAATTAAAATTAAAAAAATTAAAAATTAAAAAAACTCAAACAAGGGGCGCCTGGGTGGCTCAGTGGGTTAAAGCCTCTGTCTTCGGCTCAGGTCATGATCCCAGGGTCCTGGGATCGAGCCCCGCATTGGGCTGTCTGCTCAGCAGAGAGCCTGCTTTCTCCTCTCTCTCTCTGCCTGCCTCTCTGCCTACTTGTGATCTCTATCTGTCAAATAAATAAATAAAATCTTAAAAAAAAAAAAAAAACTCAAACAAAACAAAACACCCCTAAAGGTTGTTAGATCGGACTGGTGAGTTTCTGATGTACTGAAAGAAGCAAAAACCTGTAATATCAAGAGTGGGCAAAAATGCAGGGAAACAAACACTAACATCCACTGATGTCTGATAAATCCACAAACCCTTCATAGAAGCCATTTACCTATATCCTTTGACCCAGGAATTCTACTCCTAGGAACCCTATCCTAAAGAACAACTATACAAACACATACACACAGAGATGTTCTAACAGCACAATTTTAACAGTAAAAAATAGGAAACAACCTAAGAGTACATTAAGAGGAGAGCAGTTAAGTAAGTTTTGGTATACATATACTATGAAATTTTATAGAGCATTTAAAAATGTGGGGTGCCTGGGTGGCTCAGTGGTTGAACCTCCACCTTTGGCTCAGGTCATGATTCCATGGTCCTGGGATGGAGCCCCACATCAGGCTCCCTGCTCAGCGGAGAGCCGCTTCTCTCTCTCCCTCTGCCTGCCACTCTGCTTACTTGTGCTGTCTCTTTGTCAAATAAATAAAAATCTTAAAAAAATAAAAATAAATAAATAAAAATGTGATAAAGAACTCTATGTAAATGGAAAGCTCTCCAAACCATATATCATCTTTTTTTTTTTTTTTAAACAAAGTCACAAGGGGTGCCTGGGTGGCTCAGTGGGTTAAGCCTCTGCCTTCGGCTCAGGTCATGATCTCAGGGTCCTAGGATCGAGCCCCGCATCGGGCTCTCTGCTCTGCAGGGAGCCTGCTTCCCTTCCTCTCTCTCTGCCTGCCTCTCTGCCTACTTGTGATCTCTGTCAAATAAATAAATAAAAAATCTTAAAAAAATAAAAAAGTCACAAAATAGTAATACTTATAGCATAATTCTATGCAGAGTAAAAGAAAAAAAAAAAAGAAAAGAGCCAGAAGAATGACAAGGATTCCCTTAGGGAGATAAATGGAAGGGAATGAAGGATAAGGTTTTTGCTCTAGGTGCTTCTATGTTGTTTGAGTCATGTACAAAAAGATTTCACTATTTATATAATTTTTTAAAAACTTATTTTGTCTTCAATTAAAAAAATAGTGGAATCTAAAAAAAGTAAAACAAAAACCAAACTCAAAAACAGAGAAGAGGTTAATGGTCAGCAGAGGCAAAGGATGTAGGTAGAGAAAATGGGTAAAGGTGGTCAAACGGTATAAACTTCCAGTTATAAAATAAGTAAGTCGTAAGGATGTAATGTACAGCATGATGACTACAGGTGATAATACTGTTGTATGGGGGCGCCTGGGTGGCTCAGTTGTTAAGCAGCTGCCTTCCGCTCAGGTCATGATCCCACGGTCCCCGCATCGAGCCCCGCATCGAGCCCCGCATCGAGCCCCGCATCGAGCCCCGCATCGAGCCCCATCGAGCCCCGCATCGAGCCCCGCATCGAGCCCCGCATCGAGCCCCGCATCGAGCCCCGCATCGAGCCCCGCATCGAGCCCCGCATCGAGCCCCCCTGCACAGCGGGAAGCATGCTTCTCCCTCTTCCACTCCCCCTGCTTGTGTTCTGTGTGTGTCTCTCTCTCTCTGCCAAATAAAAAAATAAATAAATCTTTAAAAATAAAAAAAAATACTGTTGTATATTTGAGTTACTAAGAGTAAATCTTAAAAGTTCATCATAAGAAAAAATATTTTTTTAAGATTTTATTTGTTTGACAGAGAGAAAGAGATCACAAGTAGACATAGAGGCAGGCAGAGGGGGGGAAAGCAGGCCCCCCCTTGAGCAGAGAGCCTGATGCTGGGCTCGATCCCAGGACCCCAAGACCATGACCTGAGCCAAGGCAGAGGCTTAACCAACTGAGCCACCCAGGTGCCCCCCCCCCAAAATTTTTAACTATGTATGGTGATGAGTATCAACTACGCTTCCTGTGCTGATCATTTCGCCACACATAAAAATATCAAATTATGTTGTGTACCTGAAACTAATATGTTAATTATATCTCAAAATTTTTTAAATAAAAAAGAAATGAGTACTTCAATAATATCACATAGGGTTTCTCAAATTTTGATGCCAAGGATCTTTTGGCAGTACAGTTTATTTATTAAAATTTGAAGAACATTTTAATAAACCATGTTTATGTAAATCTCCTTTTGTGCTGTTTACATTTACCCCTAATTCCATGTACCTTAGTCAGAACTTCTAGGCCTTCCCAATTACCCAGGTTCCTAGTATACCCACAAGGAAACAAGCTTCTTTTAGCTTTAGAATAGTCACTTTAATATAAACTCTTACATAGCCCTCTGCACAGTTGATCCAAAACTACCAACAACTGTTTTTATGATAAGTAAAAGAACAATTATACAATGTACATTAAATACCTAAGTCTAATTTTACATGTAATGATAAATCAGTATCAACTATGTAGAATATTATCATTTATTATCATATTATTATCATCAATATTATCATCATTTCCAGGGAGAACTTACATTTCTACAATAATCTAATCCAAAAGACAATTTTTCTAGATACATTCCAGGGGGCCAAGGAGGTTGATATTTCAAGAATTATTTTAATGTATTTGTTCAATAGGATTCAAACTAGTAATAAGACTTCATATTGGAATCATTAAGCTTAAAATTTTTTTAATAACTCTACAACTGTCCTAGAAAATAGAAATCAGTTCAGAGTATATTGAGGAAAAAAAATCAAATGTTTTTACAAAACACTAACTAGGCATTTTGTGAAGGCAACTGATTACAAAACAAAGCAGTAGGCTCTTTTCTCCCCAAGCCAACCCACCCAGTATTTTTAAATGTAAAGTAACAATAATTAGGGCCTCAACAATTAACACATTTTCAAAGATGTCTAAGATGGAAGTGGTGGGATTCTAAACTTAATTAGTTCTTTAAAATCTCATGATACCTTTAAGACCGTGTTTCAGACAATGTTCCATAACAACAAAGAACTGCTGCAAGGGGGGATAGTCAGAATCCAAAGTGCGGCCAAAGCTTAGAGCAGATTCAATGAGTCCTTTGATACTCAATTTAGCCATGTTTAACAAGTTTGCTCTCTCTACAGCTGTGGGGTCTTTTGTAGCTGAAAGCACAAGAAAAGAGTCCAACATCATTTGCAAGACATGAGATTGAAAAATACAGAAACCCTTTCATTCCCCTATAAAAACAACAATGGTTTGTTTTTCCTTGGTTGACAAATTAGTCTCCCTAACTAATCCACATCCCTAGGTAACGTCTCTTCATCTCTCTCTCACAGGTACCACAGAACACTACCATACCCACCCCAGACAAAGTTTATGAATTATTCTCAAGATCTTGCAACTTGGTTATTTTCTAGTATTTATTTTACTTTTGTGGTACGTCTTAAGAACAAGTTTTTTTGTTTTGTTTCTTAAGGTTTTTTTTTAATAACTTTTTTGTGGAGATAAAATTGGAATAATAAAACAACATATTTAAGAATCTCATGCAAAAGGTGGACAGCAGGCATGGTCGAAGGATGAATCTCAAGGCAAAAAATGTTCAGAATAAACTGGCAATAAAAGGTGGTTACAATTCCAAGATTACAATATCATCCATAAACATAATGGGTTAAAACACAAAAATAACGGAATACAGGAAAAGCCATTCGATTCTTTCACTCATTTTAACCTCTTTCCATCTTGTATCTTCATTGCAACTGTAATTCTGTATTGCATAACTCCTTTATTTTCTCAGAGGAAATAAAAGCAGTCCTGTTTCACATTTAAGTTCCTTGCCCTTCCACACAGCTGATTCAGTCAAAAACTAAATTAATAGATGCACTTAAAAAAAAATGATTTGTAACTGATATTTTCAAATCACAAAAAGCTATTTTTTTTTCTTTCCCACAGTGACTGGCAGGAATATTTTCAGCAAACACAGATGACAAAATGAACTGCAGAAAAAATGAAGCACTTCGTTTAACGTTTCATAATCTCTGGCAAATTTACTAGTCCAAGTGAACCAAGTGTCTGGTTTTCCTTCTCTGAACAAAAGTCCAGGGGTCCCAATGATCTAGTATTCGAGTTCTGAGCTGACACCTAAGGGCAAAGCCTGACGTGGCATCCTAAGCAACTAAAAATGCAAACAGCCACAATCTATGACCAAGCTAGCTGGTGAAAAATTTGCACACACATCATGACTTCAAATCTGCAGCGTGGTATGATTCCCTCTTTTTTTCGGGGGGGGGGGACCACTTGATGTTTCATAATCTGTACCAATCCTCATTTTTCACAGTGCCCATTACGATCCGTGACTTGCGATGCGACAAGGAGACAAAGGGCGCATCTGCAGCTACTCCGAGGCGGGTCCGTGCTGGGGGACCCTCGCCCCAGAAGCGTTTACACGCCGGCCGCGCCCAGCCCGGGCTAGCAGACATGTCCCGCTGGTCGCAGCCCAAACAAGGCCAAGGGCCAGTCCCTGCATCTAGCCCGGGCTTGGAGCCCCCCTCCCTGTCTCCCTTCCTCCCCGCAGCAAGGCTGCCCAAAAGGCTCAGGGCGCCCCAGGACCCCCGCGGAGGGCTCACCCGGGGTCCTGCGCGACATCGCTGCACCTCTCCCGCCCTCGGCGTCGGGCACCCAGGCCAAAACCTGAGACGCGTCTTCCCTCCGCCACCCCCAAACCTGAAAAGTCATCGCCCGTCCCCGACTGTTCCACCGACCCGGGAGCGGCCCCCCAGCCAGCCGTGTCTTCGCCCCTAGGAAGCCGTCAGACCACGAGCCCTCGGCCATTAGGCCCTAGAACCCGGGCGGGAACCAGAAGGAACGGGGGGCGGCCGCGCGTTGCCATGGCGACCCCGGGCGCCCCCTAGTCCCCGGCTGCCCCCGCCCAGCCCCAGACCCAGGTTGGGCCCTGAGTTGCGACCCGGGGCCTCGGTGCCCACCACCACCAGTCTTCCTCTCCCGGCCTCGGCCTTCAGCCTCCGACCAAGAGCCCGGCGTCCGCTCTCGGTCCGCTCCCCTTACCCATGGCGTCGGTGGCGCGGTCTCGGGCGGGGACGCCGAGGGCCCCGCCAACAGCTCCCTTCAGGCGCGCGGCGGCCGCCACGGCGTCTACCAGCAGGCCCGCCGTGGCCCACAGCGCTCCCCGCGGCCGGAGGACGCCCGGGAGATCCCCCGGCGCGGCGAGTGGGGCGGGGGACCACGGGGCCTGCAATCGGCAGGAGACAAACCCGCCCTCGCCCGGCCTCCTCGCGTCCAGCCCCACCGGAAGAAGGAGGAAGAGGAGTGCGAAAGAGACCGCGAGTGTTCGGAGCCGGAGGCCGGGCCCTGGTCGGACCACCGACCTCTCACCAGGGGGTTGCGCCGGGGCGCTCTGGCGGCTTTGCCAAGGGGTACGAGCCACGTGCAAACGTTTTCATCGACGCGGCGTTGGGGTTCATCTGAGACACCTGACCGCTTCCCTTCCCGCCTCACGAGGTCTTAGGAGAAAAGAATTTAGAAACTAGGCAGCCCAATCACTTTTTTTTTTTTTTTAAGATTTTTATTTATTTGACAGATCACAAGCAGGCAGAGAGGCAGGCAGAGAGAGAGAGGAGGAGGCAGGCTGCCTGCTGAGCAGAGAGCCCGGTGTGAGGCTCGATCCCAGGACCCTGAGATCATGACCTGAGCCGAAGGCAGAGGCTTTAACCACTGAGCCACCCAGGCGCCCCCCAATCATGACATTTAAACCGGTAAATACGACGGCCGCGGGAAGGGCCGCACTCATCAAGGGACAGACGTGTAAAGATAAAGCCAATTTTTTCTCATTCAGGGAAGGAAAAAAAACCTCTCGTGGTCAGATGATACTAGGTTAAGCTCTAGCAGTAAGCTATTCCGTAGTTAGATTAGCAATTGTTAAGACAATGGCTGAGCTAGAAAGACGGAGATATGTCATGAAAATGGGGCTGTTGGGCGCCTGGGTGGCTCAGTGGGTTAAGCCGCTGCCTTCGGCTCAGGTCATGATCTCCGGGTCCTGGGATCGAGTCCCGCATCGGGCTCTCTGCTCAACAGGGAGCCTGCTTCCCTCTCTCTCTCTCTGCCTGCCTCTCTATTTGTGATTTCTCTCTGTCAAATAAATAAACAAACTCTTAAAAAAAGAAAGAAAGAAAATGGGGCTGTTTTTCTTGTCACCTTGGCCAGAATAGTTTGTTTCTTTACCTCTTTTGGTTTTAACAATTTCCATTACTGTGAGATAATCACACATGGAGAGAAAAGTATAAAACAAACTGTAATGAGCAGGCTATGAAGCTGCACACACGAGTTGCGTCTTTCCTCAATGTCAGCTTTATTCAGTCATAAAGCAAGTTAAGGATTTCAAACTCAATGACATTTCACCACGTGATTAACTTGGCTTCTTCCTAGACACACAAAGCAGAACACAAGTCACACAACAAAAGATAACAGGGACTAGGAAGTTAAGGAACCAAACAAGAAGTCAGTCTGTGGGTGCACAGTTGAGATAAGGCCTAGGTCTCCTCAGGGTCACCTCCAGGCACTTACTGCTTATTAAGCTCCAGCAGTGAAGGATCTCAGTTCTGTTGAGATCAATCAAGCAGAGCCTGTCAGCAGCAGCTGTCTTTTTTTTTTTTTTAAGATTTTATTTATTTATTTGACAGAGAGAGAGTAATCACACAAACGGGGGAGTGGGAGGCAGAGGGAGAGGGAGAAGGGCTCCCCACTGAGCAGGGAGCCCCACTCTGGGCTGGATTCCAGGACACTGGGATCATGACTCAAGCTGAATGCACCTGCTTAAACTGGCCGAGCCAGCCAGACACCCCAGCAGCTGCCTTTTTTTTTTTTTTTTTTTAATTTATTTGAGTGATAAAAAGAGAGAGAATTGCACACAAGCCAGGGGAGAGGCAGAGAAGCAGACTCCCCACTGAGCAGGGAGCCTGATGTAGGACTGGATCCCAGGACCCTGAGATCATGACCTGAGCTGAAGGCAGACACTTAGCAGACTGAGCCACCCAGGAGCCCCAGCAGCTGTCTTTTGTTAAGGGGTCAGACATACAGGATGTTGAGGAGTCTGACAGTTTGCTAAAAAATCCTCCCTTTTTAACTAATGATTTTGGCTAGCTGAACATAATAAAAAAATTAAAATTTAAAAAATTTTAAAAAAAGAATAAACCTGCTGGCCTGTTAAAAGAAAAAGGATCTTCCCTTTTTAAAAAAGGATTAATCAGTCTTGGGACTCTACAAAGCTCCTCTGCTTCCGCTTGTTATCAGTTCTGGGGGACCGTCAGCTGTTGTTGGTCTTGGTAGATAATCTGATTAATGCAGTACCCTTAAGTGCTTGCATCATTGCTTGACACAGGCCCCTCCTTGACATAAGTGACTCCATCTTGCACTCTACATACAGTTTAAAGAATCATTATAAAGTGAACAGCTAAGTAACCACCATCAGATCAACTGAGCACAGGCAGAGCCATCCACCCTGGGAACTGGCCCTGGGCACCATTCACTTTCCCCCTTGAGGTAAATACCATTCTGGCTTTTTTGAGAATCATTTCCTTGCTTTTTTTTTTTTTTTTTAAGATTTTATTTATGTATGTATTTGACAGAGAGAGACACAGCGAGAGAGGGAACACAAGCAGGGGGAGTGGGAGGGGGAGGGGGAGAAGCAGACTCCCTGCTGAGCAGGGAGCCCGATGCAGGGCTGGATCCCAGGATCCTAAGATCATGATCTGAGCCGAAGGAAGATGCTTAACGACTGAGCCACCCAGGAGCCCCCATTTCCTTGCTTTTGTTTTCTACCTTGCAAGTATGTGCCCCTAAACCATGTAATTTATTTTTGTGTTCATAAACTTTTCACAAATGGAGTAACACTATAAATTTTGTTACTTGCTTCTTTTGTTCAACATTATCCATGTCCAAGAGAAGTTCCAGGTTGGGGTATTTCAAAGTTGTACATATATCCTTTTTTTTTTTTTTTTAAAGATTTTATTTATTTATTTGACAGAGATTACAAGTAGGTGGAGAGGCAGGCGGAGAGGGGAGGAAGCAGGCTCCCCGCTGAGCAGAGAGCCCGATGCAGGTCGATCCCAGGACCCTGGGATCATGACCTGAGCCGAAGGCAGAGGCTTTAACCCACTGAGCCACCTAGATGCCCCACTGTACATATATCCTTATGCCAATGTCCAAGAGAGTCACTAGAACATATAATTAAGAATAGGGGCACCTGGGTGGCTCAGTCAGTTAAGTGTCTGCCTTCAGCTCAGGTCATGATCTCAGGGTCCTGGGATGGAGTCCACGTCAGGCTCCCTGCTCAGCAGGGAACTTGCTTCTCCCTCTGCCTCTCCCCCTGCTTGTGCTCTCTATCTCTATCTCTCAAATGAATAAATTTTAAAAAAAATTTTAAAAAATGAATAGAGTAACTGAAAATAAGGTATGCTTTTTTAAAAATTTATGCGCTAGGCTCTTGGGTGGTTCAGTAGGGTTGAGCGTCCAACTCTTGATTTTGGCTCAGGTCATGATCTCCATGAGATGGAGCACCCTGTTGTTGGGTTCCATGCTCAGCAGGAATTCTGCTGGAGATTCTCTCCTTTCCCTCACCTCTGCCCCTCCCCCAGATCATGCTCTCTCTCTCTCTAAAAATAGGTAAATAAAATCTTTTTTAAAATTTTTTATTTAATTAACACATATTGTTTCAGGGGTAGTAAATAAAATCTTAAAAAAAAAAAAAAAGAAGTTACAAAGCTTTATCTTTCATATTTAGGCCTGTTATTGCACCCAGAATTGATTTTAGTGAATGGTATGGAACAGGATCAAATATCATTTTTTCTACAAGTATAGCTAACTATCCCATTATCCTTCCTTTTTTTTTTTTTTTTTTTAAGATTTTATTTATTTATTTGACAGAGAAAGAGATCACAAGTAGGCAGAGGAGCAGGCAGAGAAAGAGGGGGAAGAAGGCGCTCCGCCAAGCAGAGAGCCCGACACCAGTTTCTATCCCAGGACCCTGAGATCATGACCCAGGCGGAAGGCAGAGGCTCAACCCAGTGAACCACCCAGACGCTCCTCCCATTATCCTTTCACCAATCTTCCATACCCCTGTGGTATCAGTGAGCAGGTAACTCTACATCAGTTCCTAGGGCAAAGTCTTCCTTTGCAAAACCACCCCACGAGGATGGAATTGTCTGCACTTTGCAGGTTAAACTAACCTCTGAAAGGCTAAATAACTTCAGAAAAACTACGTGACAGAACCAGAATCTGAACCAATACAAAAGTAGCACCAATTTTCATAATCTCAAAATAAAGGAGGTTTTTAGTGTTTAGGAGTCTAAAACTCATTGCAAGTCTAACCCCTTCCATCTTACTATTAAGCATTGAAATATGACTGACTTGTTCATTTTTCTTCTCTCCAAATGATGGGTAAAAAAGGAAGTATTTGTCTTCTATGTGGATTTAAAAAAGTAAATAAAGTATATACTAACTTTATAGAACCATGAGAACAGAGGAAAAGAGCTTTATTTCCTAGATTGCTTTTCCCCCAGTGACTTCATAGGTAACAGGAAGGAAAGAAATTAGGTAGGTAATAGGTAGGTAATAGGTAGGAAATACCTATGAAGAAATTACCTTCATAGGTAATAGGTAGGAAAGAAATTTAATTCAGTAATAAACCAGTTTTATTTAAAGCAAGCAAGCTAAGTAAATAAATAAAGCAAGCAAGCAAGCAAATAAATTCTACTGTTGAGGTGGATATTCTTAAATTCCAAAATATACACTTGCTGGCTACTAAATTCCAATTCTGTTTGGAATTAGAATTGGAATTTAGTATCTATG